ATTCTCGACGTCCCTCCCTCCCTCCCTCCCTCCCTCCCATCCTCCCGCCCGTCAGGTCATCAAGTCGGCGCGCGTGATGAAGCGCGCCGTGGGCCACCTCATCCCCTACATCGAGGAGGAGAAGGCGCGCAACGGGCAGACCGGGGACGACAACGCGGGCGTCATCATCATGGCCACCGTCAAGGGCGATGTGCACGACATCGGCAAGAACATCGTGGGCGTGGTGCTGGGCTGCAACAACTTCAAGGTGGGGCCTGCCGTTGGGGCGCGGGTGGGCGGCGGCGCTGCGCCACATTTTCTTTGTCGCTGTGTGCTGTAGGTGCAGCAGGGCGTGCGGCGCAAGGTGCTGCGCTGGGTGTGCTTTGAGTGGGGTTGTTGCTGTGCACTCCCGTCTGATTAAGGAACCTGTTAGTTTTTGGTAGTCCAGTCTTCTGGGCAGCTGAAAGCTGTGATGAGTAGACTGGCTGCCCGCTGCCTGCCTGCCTGCCTGCCCCCAGGTCATCGACATGGGCGTGATGTGCCCCTGGGAGAAGATCCTGGACGCCGCCGTGGAGCACAATGCCGACATCATCGGCCTGTCTGGCCTCATCACCCCCTCCCTGGACGAAATGGTGCGCCCCAGGGGATGGCCGGCTGCCTGGCCGGCGTTTCGCCACCGGGCGGAGCTGTGATGCCTCTCCCCAGTGCCTGCTCGCCTCCCGCCAGCGCGGACTGGGTGGCTCCCTGCGCTGTTTAGGCCTGTGGCACCCCCCCAGGCTCCCCTTAGCTGAGCTGCTACCCTGGCCCCTGCCCCAGCGCCCACACCCGCTCCTTACCGCAGCTCGACACTGCCCACACGCCCTCGCCGCCCTTCCCCTCCCAGCCGTGCAACCCCGTCGCTGCCTGCCCACCCGGCCATGCCCCCCTGCGCCCCTGCCCGGCAGGTCACCGTGGCGAAGCGCATGGAGGAGCGCGGCCTGCGCCTGCCGCTGCTCATCGGCGGCGCCACCACCTCCAAGATGCACACGGCGGTGAAGATCGAGCCGCAGTACAGCGGGCCGGTGGTGTACGTGCTGGACGCCTCGCGCAGCGTGCCCGTGGCGCAGTCCCTCCTGGACGCGCGGCAGAAGGAGGAGTTTGTGGAAGACATCAGGTGAGGCGCGGGGCGGGCTTGCCACATTATGGGACCTGTTCGCCAGCGGTGGCGCCAGCCGACCGTGCCAACTCTTCTTTCGCCTGCTGTGCCGGCCGCGTGTACCGCGTGCAGGGAGCAGTACTCTGAGATGCGGGAGGAGTTTTATGCGGGGCTGGAGGACCGCAAGTATGTGACCCTGCAGGAGGCGCAGAGGAAGGGGCTGCAGGTGGGCGCAGGGCGCGCTTGCTGTGCCTGTCCTTGCGCTGCGGGTGGGCGCAGGAGCGCGTGCTGCTGTTCACCGGCCCCGCTGCTCACGCGCGCCTGCCGCCGCCCGCCCGCCCCGCCGCTGCGCGCAGGTGGACTGGAGCGCGCCGGAGAATGCGCCGGTACGGCCCAGGCAGCTGGGCACGCAGGCGTACCTGGACATGCCTATTGAAGAGCTGCTGCCGTACATCGACTGGAACCCTTTCTTCCAGGTGGGGCGCCGACACGCTTTCTTCCCTTCCGTTTTCATTCCTTTCTTCCAAGTCGGGGTGGCCTCCCTGCTGCCCGCCCCTGCATGACAGCCCTGGCAATGGCGCCTCCCTGAGTGCCAGCCTGGGCGCACGCCAGCCCCGTGCCACTCGCCGCGCCTGCTCGCCTGCCTGCCCGCCGCGCGGCGCTGGGTGCAGGTGTGGCAGCTGCGGGGGCGCTACCCCAACCGAGGCTACCCCAAGATCTTCAACGACGAGGCGGTGGGCGGGGAGGCCAGGAAGCTGTTTGATGAGGCGCAGGCCATGCTGCAGGTGGGCCGAGTAGGCTGTGGGTCTGCGGGCGGGTGGCTGTGGGGGTGGCGAGGAGCAGAGCATCGTGGTGCGACACACCTGGCACATGTGTTATGCAGTCATTCAGACTCCCTCTGCGAGGCACACTATGTTCATGCCTGCATCACACACACACACACACACACACGCGCGCGCGCACACACACACGCTCCACTCCCCCTGCGCAGGACATCATCGCCGGCAAGAAGCTGCGCATCGTGGGCATCGTGGGCATCTTCCCCGCCAACTCGGTGGGCGACGACATAGAGGTGTACACCGACGAGAGCAGGGCGCAGGTGCGGGCTGCTGCTTTGTCCCCCTGCTTTTCCCTCCCTGCTGCTTGCTGTGTGTGGTTCCTGCTTCTTTTCCTCCATCTGTGGGGCAGAGCGCAGGTGGGCTGCTGCTTTGTCCGCGTGGTTTCTGGTTGTTCCTCTTCCCGGTTGGGCGATGCTGGTGGGAGCGTGGGCCAGCACCGGAGGGCTGTGCCTCTGAATGGGTTGCGTGTGTGCCGCCAGGCTCGGGTGCCTGCTCGGCTGCCACACCTCGCGCGCCTCCACTTTCCACCGCCGCTGCTGCTGATCACCTTCCTCCTGCCCGCCTCACATCTACGTCCCCACCCACCCCCAACCACCACCACCACCGCAGGTGGCCGCCCGCTTCCACGGCCTGCGGCAGCAGGCGGAGAAGGACGGCGACGAGCCGTACTACTGCCTGTCCGACTTTGTGGCACCTCGCTCCACAGGCACCGTGGACTACCTGGGCATGTTTGCCAACTCGGGTGAGGCGGCGCTGCCGTGTGGGGGCGGCGGGGGAGCAGCGGGAGGAGCAGGAGGGCGGCAGGCTGCTGCAGGGGGAGCTGCAGCATGACGGTGTGCAGCGGGGCTTGCCGACTCGGGCGAAAAGAGCGCCCTGTGGGCAGCAGAGGGGCAGGGGGTGCAGCACAGGGGGAAGAGGGGGTGCAGCCCAGCCCAGCGCTGCGGGGCGTAGCAGAGGAGGGCCTGGCTGTTGGCTGTTGGGGAGAGCAGGCGCTGCCAGGCCGCGCCTGCCGTGCCACATCATCGTCCCCACCGCCCCTCACCCCTGCTCTGCCCTGCTCTTGCACCTTTTGCCACACACCCACCACCCACGACCCGCCACCCTGCGCCTCCTCTCTGCAGCCATGGGGGTGGAGGCGATGACCGAGGTGTTCAAGGCGGAGGGGGATGACTACTCCTACATCATGGCCGAGGCGCTGGCTGACCGGCTGGCAGAGGCCGCGGCAGAGCGGCTGCACGAGCTGGTGCGGCGGGAGGTGTGGGGGTATGCCGCGGACGAGGCGCTGTCGGTGGACGACATGCTCAAGGTGAAGTACCGCGGCATCCGCCCCGCCGCGGGATACCCCTCCCAGCCCGACCACACCGAGAAGCGCACGATGTGGGAGCTGATGCGGGTGGAGCAACAGGTGGGTGTGGATGTGAGTGTGGGTGTGGGTGGCTGTTTGGGTGGGATTGGCACTTCGGCGGGTGGCTGGCGCTTGCCGGCGTCTTGCGATCCCTTGAGCGGCCCATTCGACTGCGGGCGAGACAGGGGGCCTCGAGACGCGCCCGCAGCAGAAGCGTGGCGTGCCGCCTGCCTGGGCCCTCGCGCCCCCTGCCTGCGTGCGGCGCCCC